TCCACTGTGCACCATCACGTCTGTATATGACAGACCAGTGTCTCACATGATGACTCCACTATGCACCCGTCACGTCTGTATATGACAGCGTTTCATATGATGAACTACAAACTTATCCAAAGCTGAAATGTTTCCTGTTTGTTCCGGAATCCTCGGTGTCTCTTATGGAGCTTGTGTGGTGAGTGAGTTTGTGTGTGTTGTGTGTCAGTTGTGTGGTGAGTGGGTTCGTGTGTGTTGTGTGTCAGTTGTGTGGTGAGTGGGTTCGTGTGTGTTGTGTGTCAGTTGTGTGGTGAGTGGGTTCGTGTGTGTTGCGTGTCAGAGTCTGTGTGGTGAGTGGGTTCGTTTGTGTTGTGTGTCAGTTGTGTGGTGAGTGGGTTCCTGTGTGTTGTGTGTCAGTTGTGTGGTGAGTGGGTTCGTGTGTGTTGTGTGTCAGAGTCTGTGTGGTGAGTGGGTTTGTGTGTGTTGTGTGTCAGTTGTGTGGTGAGTGGGTTCGTGTGTGTTGCGTGTCAGTTGTGTAGTGAGTGGGTTCGTGTGTGTTGTGTGTCAGTTGTGTGGTGAGTGGGTTCGTGTGTGTTGCGTGTCAGAGTCTGTGTGGTGAGTGGGTTCGTTTGTGTTGTGTGTCAGTTGTGTGGTGAGTGGGTTCGTCTGGGTTGTGTGTCAGAGCTGTGTGGTGACAGAGTTCATGAATGACTGAAGGAGGTGACAGGCACTACCTTTTGTGCCCTTGTAAAAAGCTTTTTTTAGTTGGCTAAAAGGCTTTTCTCCATGGAAGGTGTATTTTCCCCAAAATAAACCTCAAGTGTGTGTCACTACCAGAATGCCAGTGGATCAAAAGGCCTTTCTTTTTATTCCTGCTCTTCCCAGAAAATGAAAAAAGTTCCTTTGTTACCTAAAATATCTGCGCCAGAATGGAGTGTTGTCTCCCAGCGCAGTGCTTATTATTGTGGCTAATTTGGTCACATGTGTTTGAGGCAGAACAATGCCTCAGAAATTTTAAAAAGCAAAACAGCAATCTGAAGCATTTGTTGTAATGAGATGTAAATTGCCAACATCGGGAGTGGAGCCGACTAAAATTTGCAATGAAGCAGCCCCCCTTTCCCCCCGCTACACGTCTCCCCCCCACACACACACACACACCACATCTTAAATTAAAAGCTCTAGAGCCCTCCCTCTGCTCTCCAAGGAAACAACATGGGACTTTGGTTGGTGGTGGTTGTTGGATTTTGTCCTTTCCTTTCCTGCTTCTGTAATACTGAACGTGTTTTACTGACTGATTCGTTCTCCCCACTCGTCTGCCATTTTCTGAGCCTCTGTCCTGTGCCTGCCTCGCTGCTCAGCTCCTCAGGCAGGAGTTTTCATCAGCCTGCATGGTGTCCCTTGGCCACCCCTCTGTAAGCAGGAAAGTGGAGGTTAAGACATGATGTGACTTTCTTAGGATCATTCATCTTGGAGCCAACCCTTACCAAGATGTGCCTTTGACTGGCTTTCCTAGACGCCCCACTTGCTGAGGCTGCAGCCCTGAGTTTGACTTTCTGTATATACAGTGTGCCAGAGAAAGGAGGCCGTGGCAGAGAACTGCCACCAGTGTTGAACGGTCCCGACTAGGGTGGTAAGAAATGCTGTTTCTTGAGAGCAGTACAGTGGCCTCGATGTTGACGGAGCTCTGCTAGTCCCTGAAGAGATGAGTGTGGGAAAGGGGGTAGAAATGGTTCCTCTGTACAGGGTCTTGTTCTGAGTACTAGGGGCAAAACCAGACCCGCAGGGACCCGACTCACTGAGTCCATGGTTTAGTAGTCAAAAGTAAGCACACAGTGGATGTGTGGGAGTGGACAGTGGGGTTAGTTTACTAAGTGCCCACTTTGTGCCAGACACTGAGGTTCTCCCCCTCATCCTGGAGTGTGTGTGTGTGTGTGTGTGTGTGTGTGTGTGTGTGTGTGTGTTTAACTCAGTTTAGGTTTCAATCTAGTCAAGCCGTTCTTTCATTCATGTGAGGCTAGGTCAGAGATGTGTATATTATCTCTTGTGATGAGAATCTGCCCAGGCCGTCCTGGTTTCTGACATAAAAGGATTGGCCAGCCCCTGCCTCTGCTCAGCTGCCCAGCTTAGTTGAGGCATCAGATGCCACTATGGAGTGGAGATGGTGTCAGGGAGGGCACAAAAGAGCCTTTCTCCTGGAGTCAAGTCTCAGCCCTCCTGTACAATCCATGTGAACCCGGTGTTTAATACCGAGCCAGGAGGGGAGAGCCGCCTCTATTGGAAGGGTCTGGTGGTCTTAGCGGAGAAGTGGCACTTGAGTCAGGCCTTGAATGAGTCGCCCTTGCAGTTTGGACAGTTGTACAAAAGGAACAACACAAGCACAGCCTCTGAGACCAAAGGGAAGGTATCTGTGGGGGCTAGGGAGGCCATGTGGACTAGAAAGGAGTCTCAGGAGAGTGACTAACGCAACGTTGAGCCGGAGAAGTGACCCTCATCGCCTGTCCTCTAGTCTCTGCCTAAATGGGCGTAGAGTCCTTTGTCAGAACCATAGCCTCCAGAACCGGCCATTCGGAGTAGCTGCTTCTGGTGTATCTAGTTCTGATTTCTGCTTCTTGGACTGTACATAAGGTTACGGGCATTCCTTCCTACCCACAATTCTTCCTCCAAGCCCCTACTTCACAGCATGCCCATCAAAGACCTTTCCTTCCAGCCTCTCTGCCCTCATGTCATAGTGAGTTTGCCGAGAGCCCGCCCTGTGCCGGGTACTACTGCGGGTACCCGCGGGTACTACTGCGTCTCTACAGCTTCACTGTGAGTAAATCTGCTCTTGAAGGCTTCACAGTGTAACACCGCAAAAGGATGGGGTAGTTGGCGACACACACAGCTGACAAGTTATGACATAGAGACTACCATCTAGGAGCACGGCATCTGGAGGAAGCCACCTGACTGGGTACTGGGCATATAGAAAGGATCCTTCAATGCGTATTTAACAGTCCAGAGACCCTGGACAATACAATACACAAAACTGAGCAGAGGAGCCAGAGGAGTCCATCCAAATTCTAGACAGAGAGCGACTGGTTGTCCTCAGCCTTTATGGTCCATGGGGTGGGGAGTGGTTATAGGAAGTGTGAGGTGGTGGTGAGCAAGGAGGAACAGTGTCATGGTCGTGTGGAAGTTATCGTTGGCAGCCACTGAGCCCCTGAATTCTCCTTGTTTGAGACAAGGTCTCATGTGGCCCAGGCTGGTCTGCAACTTGCTATCCAGATGAGGCTGACTTTGAATGTCTGATCCTCCCAAACATGAGTGCTGGGATTAGGGCCTTTGCCTAATAGTCTTCTCTCTTGAAAAGAAAAGGAGGTTCTGAGGACTTTGCAAAGATGGCCTGAGAGCCGGTGGCTGCAATGGCCTTCTCAGCTTCTGTCTCTTCTCTGTCCCTGACAGCAGAACAGAACGAGATGGGAAACACCTCAACCTGTCCCTAGGGAAAGTAGAGTAATCACATTTTCTAGATCTGAGGAAAGAGCAACTGTTTTACTTATTCATATCTTGAAATTCACACCTGTAGTAAAGAAACTTCGGCATGTGCTTGGGGACGGTAGCTTCATTCTTTGTTATGATCCTTTTTTTCTTAGCAAACATTTGGAGAACAACTACCAAGTTTGGGGCATAAGGGGAAAAATAAGAGCCGGGCCTGACTTTAGAAAGCACACTTAGGAGATGCTGTCCGAAAGATAATGATGCTATCTGTCCTTCACTCCACAGCTTCTTCATCTGCAGCTCATTCTCTGTTAGTTAGGAAGTTAAAGATGCAAAGCGAGCTATGGGGCTCAGTCTGTACCAACATGCCTTGTGTTCTTTTATCTGCGCCCTTCTGCTCTCTGTCCATACTGTGGTCAGCTTTGTGGAAAGCTCACGCTTACATACGGAGACTGCAGAGAGTCTGTCTTGCAGTTGGCAGCTGCTAGCTGCCAACCGCTCACGGTTGGTGCTGGATTCTGGGAAGACCTGTCATAAGGACTTCTATTAGCAAACTCAGAGGGACATTCTCTCCCTCGGCCAAAATCTAGGATATGTCAGCTGAGCCTAGAGTTGCAGCCAGACCATTACATAAGGTGTTAGGGAATAAGAGCTTGGAATCCAGTCGTGCATGTGGCCAGGACAAGAAGCTGCACCCTAAATTCTCCACTTTCTTAAGTTAAACACATAGCAACATACAGTTCCATGATTTTAGTCAAGGCCAGGATCTGAAACTATATATAAGCTTTTGAAGTTGTTCTCCCAGGCAAGTTAATTGAGTCGTTTGGCTGTATTTACCCATTTTCTCTGTTCTTTGGTAATCAAGACACAATGGGTGATTTAAAAGAGAAAAAAAAAGCTGTCATTTGTCATTTAAAAAACTAGTAAAGAAAAAAGAGCCCCCCCCAACAGCAACCATTTCCCCTGCTTCCTTTCACTGTTTAAAATCTCACATAATTTGTGTTGATTGCATTAAAATAAAATTATGAGCGATCACTCTATCAAGCAATCAGGAGTTTACTCTGTGTTGGATTTTAATTTCTTGGTTGGAATGCCCTTGCTCAGATGCTAGGTCCCCAGTAGGAGCTCTTTCCATTTCTCCCCATAGCGTTCCTCATTTTCCTTCCTTCACATGGCCTCTCCATCACAGGCTCCAGAGATGAGTTTGTTGGCAAGCCCATAATTTGCATATTGTAGTTACTGTCATCCCTTCTCCAGCAGTCTTAAACAGGCCCTCCCTCCTGTGGGGGAAGTTGGGTCTCCTGCTTAGAAGGTGTCCCCCAATCGTCCCTAATTACTAAAGTCTAGTTAATTCTTGCCCTCTGATTCCACCTGATGACATTCATGCCTCTAGTGCTCTGGAGTCCGGGTTTAAGTGTAGCAAAACTGAGCTAGCTTTTTTTTTTTTTTATTCCAGTGCCACTATGTGCTGATAGATGCATAGTTAAGAATATTTGCTTTTGATTTTCCTTGGAGTTCTAGACAGATCTCTTTTCTTAACTGCCTAGGTCCCGCCATTGACTTGGAAAAAGTAAAGTCAGAATGTCTCGAGCCCGAGCCGGAGTTACGGAGCACTTTCAGTGAGGAAGCAAATACGTCGTCCTATTACCCCGCTCCTGCGCCTGTCATGGACAAGTATATCCTAGACAATGGCAAGGTAGTGTTTTCAGCTCAATCTCCATTCCTCCAGGTGCTTGCTAGTCAGAGGAAAGGTGGCTGGCGAGTACGGCCTCCCAGCCAAGCCCCGGTGACTGTGGAATTTATGACTTGGTAGCATAGGTTTGCTGGGACTTCCCTTTCTTCCTCTTTAAAAAGGTGGCGAGTACAGCCTCACATTTTAGAACAGCTTATTAATGAGAAAGATTTTTTTTAAAAAAAGAATTCCTTTAATAGTTCAATGAAATTCTTCCTACCTTCCTTTGAAACCAGGTGTCCAGAGTACACACGGTGAACTCAGAGTGAATTACCCGCTTATAGATAGCAACTCGGTGTATATTCACCCAACATTTACAGAGTAGATGTCCTCATCCTCCAGCTCCCTGCTGGGGGTACAAGGCAAATGACCTGTACTCCTTGTCCCCCACTCACTGACCTACAACTCTAGGGCTATGCCTAGCTCCTCATATTTTCTCTCATGACTCCTGGAAATCAATCATGAAAGAGCACATAAGCCCCCGTGGTAAGGAGCAGAATGTCAGGGCCCTTTGTCAAGGCCCTGGTAAACCCCGTTACACCCTCTGCCACTACCACACACATTTCAGACTCACCTCTCCTTGGCCCCGGGGAGTCATCTGCGTCAACCCATTTATCTTACCTCATGCTTTGAGTGATCTCTGTTTATCTGATATCGTTCCCCAGTGAAAGGAAAAGGTTGTTTGACAACTGTTTGGCCTGAACCAAAGAAAATGTGGTCAAGCTGAGGAAAAGAAGTGTGCTTCTCTTCAGGGCTCTCTTGGATGTTCTGCCATGCCCTCTGTCTTTCTCTGAGCGCTTACTCCTCTGCAGGGACAGGACTTGATGGACCAGGGCATAGCCTTGTCTTTGCTTCACTCAAGAAGCTTTTAGAGTAAGCTTTGTAGGGGAAAGGTTGGGAGGCTGAGCCTTAGCTCACAGCATAGCTCGACTCTGTACTTCCCGTGTGATAACAGGCAGGTCCTTGGCCTTGCTGGGCCTCCTTGTCTGTATCTGTAAAAAGCACACCATAGCGATGCTTTCCATGGGCCATTTTGGACTGAAAGTGTGTATCTAAGTTGGTAAACCTCCCAAATTGAAGACAGAATGGGAGAACCATTCTGGGTCTCTTGATTTCTTTTTAGTCATGATCACTTTGTGGAGTGATTGAAGAATTTTTCTTAAGAAACTTCCAAGAAAATCTATTTCCCTCTTGCTTTGAAGGCTGCCAGGCAGCTTCTGAGCCCTGCTGCAAAAGTAACATTCTTTCCCAAGAAAACAGGTCTCAGAACCCTCATTTAATTTTTAACACACACATTAAACGCCTCTTGAAAATGCCTCTCTGCTTTTCGCCAGCCACTGCTCTGAACTTCACCCAGCTTTTCTTTGAGACTGATTTGTAGTCAGGCGGAGGACTCTAGGAAGAGGGAGGAAAAGAAGCAGACTTTCTAATAACCTTCCTTGACAAGGAAAACTAACATTTTGATCAAATATTACCATAGTTTACTTGAATGAATGGGGTTTGCCACATAGATCACTTTCTGATTCCAATAGGTCTATTGCTTACCTAATATGTTTTTATTTAAAAAAAAAACCTCATTGAATCATAAAACTGAAAAAAACCATTATACTTAAACATTAAGTAACAGATCCTGAAAATGCACCTGAGCAGGGTCTGATCTGAGCTGTATGACAGGTTAGGGGCAGGCGGCAACTGAAAGCCAGATCTCCTGGCTCCTAGGCCAGTGCTCTTGGCAGTCTGTCTCGCTGTGCCTCTGGGAACTGCGCATTGCTCTAGATAGCCACGAGTGTGCTGACCTCAGCAGCCCTGTCTCAGTTGCTCAGCCTGGACCTGTGATGGGTCTTCCTGGGGCCAAGGGCCCGTTTCTTTCTAAGCTATGGCACTGGCATTGTACTCAGGTGGATGCCAGAAAACATTCTGTTCTCTAAGGAAGAGCTACTCATCAGAAATGAAGCCAAAGCCATGAAGATGTATTAAATATGCTCGTATGTTTAGTATTGCTTTGAGTTTAGGTTGGTCTTGATCACTCTGCAGGAGGCAGAAGTGGGGAGCCTCGACCTCTCCCCGCTGGAATGTGCCTTGACCAGAAGGACTGAGTTGGCTGGCTTTGGGTGAGCTGGTGCCTCCCAAGGGGTGTAACCTAACCCTGTGGCAGTTAAATAACACCTCCTGGGTTGTGGAGTGGGTATGCAAAGCTGAGTAGCTCAAAATGACAGGAATCTGTCATCCTAAGGGTATTGCTTCCTTTTCCGGCCAGAACAATGCGAGAACAGAGATGCCAGTGAGGAAAGAAGGGGCAGGATGTAGCAGCCACTTGCTGTATGTTCTTCTTACATGTAGTTCGTCCCTCTTAGTACTTGTTTATCCCTCTGTGAGATCGAGGATGATCCGTGTGGTTGAGAAAACTGAGGCTCAGAGAAGTATGGTGACTAGCCCTGGCCAGTGTTAATCACCTGACATACGGAAGAGTGAGTGTCTGCACCCAGGGCTGGCAGCGCAGAGCCCGTCCCCCTCCTGTTCTAGCACTGGAAGAAGGAAGTGGATGTATCCAGAGACTTTATAGAAGAATGGACTTACTGGGTTGGTGATGGGATGGAGCCAGGCTGAGGAGGTCAGATCTGATAACAAATAGGGAGCCATGCCAAATTCCGAGGGGCTGACTTAAAAACACAGACTAGAAGACGGCTGAGGCCATCTAGTTGAAGAGGAAAGCAGTGTTTTAGGGAAGTGGATAGCGGTGATTACAAGGTGAGCTGAACAGAGTAGCCACTGGCAAGGAAGCCAGTCCAGCCTGGCTTTTTTTTTTTTTCCAATTTCCATTTACCTGAGGTATACTGGACTGGGAGCTGGCGCTGGATGTGGCCTGCAGGTACAGAAGACTCAAAGGGAAACCAATAATAAGTAGGGCTTGCCATGTTAGGTGTACACTTTCCAATCACCTTAGCCTCACCTTGACACTAAGGACAGGAGGGCCTGAATCAGGCAGCGCAGATTTGGGACTGAATCTTCATTTTTACATTAGCTGATTGTGTGTCTGGGGTTCCCCCTGCCCCGAGTTTGTGTTCACATGTGTGAAATGAAAACAGCAATTTCTGGCAGCTTCTAACTCTAAAGATTCTTAGGAGAATTAAGGAAGCTGGGTTCATTATAGGTACTCAATAATATGGCTACTTTTCCTTCCGGAACATTGGCTCACATGACTTCATCTCTCTTCCAGAGTAACAGGTGTTGTAGTGTAGACTTACAATCCCAGTAGTCAACAGACTGATTCAGGAGCCTTGCTGCATGTCTCTCTGGGTTTCTCTTTCAGAATCTAGTCTAGAGCAAAGTCCCTTGTCTCCCTCCCATCTCGGGCAGCTTGTGTGTGTGGTCTCAGTGTCATCAAGGGAGGGACACAGCTCCTTTAGGGACCTTGCACTCAGCATGGCTGCTTACCTGGCACAGATTGTCCATCTGCAATTCAGACGCGAACACGGAAAAGGCCACATTTGGCCTTGGGCTCTGGTTGCTAAGCCAGCCCCCGGGCAGTACATCTCGCCCCAGGGCGGCTTATCTGTCTGAGCAGAACAAACTGATTAGCAGTGCTGAAGTGCTGGCAGAGAGAGGCCAGGTGGATCCCGTTATCTGCCCTCACACGGCGGGCTGAGTGATCTGTTGAGCCAAAGGAGGTGAAGCTAGACGCGGCCTGCAGAGCATTCACTTAGCAACGAGAGTGAGCTGCCAGGTCGTTTATTTTGATGGTTAGAAAACCTTAGTAATGGATAAAGGAAATATTACTGGCTGTCCAGGCTGTCCATCTCTGTGTCCACCTTTCTTCCCAAGCCAAGTTTGAGTAGAAGAATCTTGAATCATTTCTTGAACAATTGTTCTTACCTTCAGCCATCAATTTGTGTATGTGTGTGTGCGTGCATGTGTGCGCCATCCCAGGTCAGGACCTCGCTGAGATGTCTCCTGCCCATGTCTTGGTCAGGTCATTATGAAAACAAGGGCCTTTAGCAGAGCCTTCTCACACCCCTTGGAAAAGTCAACTGATTAGGAGGTCCCTCCCCTCCATCCCACAGAGGCTGGTTCTGTCCTCCACGCGCTCAGCAGAAATGCAGCCTAAATGGCTATATCCAGGTCAAAACTTTTTTTTTTAATGACAAACATTAGTTTGGGTTTGTGAGTTGCTAAGGGCCACGAGTGAGGACAGGTTTTAAAGCTGTAGCTCATTGCTGGAAGCAGAGGGGTACAGTGATTTCTTGGCTATCACTATCCCTCTGGCTCTGGCTCCTTCTCTTCCAGGGAGCACAAGATTGTATTCTGGTGTGTGTGCTACCAAACTCAAACCGGATACATTGCGGTTGCATTTAATTGCTTAAAACCCTAGGTGTTCTCAGCCAGAGAGATGAACTTTGAGATGAAATCCAAGTCTCCCACTTCATAGATACGGGAGCTGCAGTTTGAGCTGGAGAGGGACTCTCACAGCTACGCGCCTGCTGGCTGCAGAGCCAGGCAGCTGCTCTGCCCCTGCCAGCTGGCAGGGATTTATAACTCAGCTCTAAATTGGAATTATCTAGGGAGCTAAACCATCCTGATGTCTAGACCACACCCAGACCACATAATTCAGCATCTTGGAGATGAGGCCTGGGCACCAGTGATTGCTATAGCTGGTGAGTTCTGCATGCAGCCTCCACTGTGTTAGCAGGAGGTGTGCCTCAGAATGTGCAGGTAGAAGACTTTGATCCTTCTAGAGTATAACACACGTGAGCACATACTGTCCTGAGCATGGGTCAGGCTCAGAGCACCCACGTAATACCACAAGTGCAGCTTAGAATCCCAGATCTGCCACTCACGAGTTGAGTGACATCTGAAGTCACTTCACATCACTGAACTTGATTTTCCCATCCGAGGTGGCAGCTGTATCATTGCACCTCCTGTTTAAGAGCGTGAAGTCAGAGCTTTGGAATAAGGCCTGATGCATTGCAAGAATTCCGTAAGTGATGCTGTTGCCGCATCTGTGGCATGAAGCCCTTGTAGTGGAGAAGCGGTGATTTAAAGGACAGTAGCAGCCTCCAGCTGTCTTCCTGTCGGACTAAACAGGTGTGGTGTGATCTCTTTCAGGTTCATCTGGGAAGTGGGATTTGGGTTGACGAGGAGAAATGGCACCAGCTACAAGTCACCCAAGGAGATTCTAAGTACACGAAGAACTTGGCAGTCATGATCTGGGGAACAGATGTTCTGAAAAACAGAAGTGTCACAGGAGTCGCCACAAAAAAAAAGAAGGATGCAATCCCGAAGCCGCCCCTCTCTCCTCACAAGCTAAGCATCGTCAGAGGTAGCACACCCAGTGGAAGCGCCGTGCTGGACGTCCTGTCCTTTACTTTGTTAGAAATGTAGTATGCAGGTTTCAATCCAGTGAATGATGGCTGGAGCCCCCATATGCCGGGCCCCAACGGGGACACAGGGGCATAGGGGCAGACATGATAGCTCTCACCAGAGATCTCACTCTGGACAGGACAAATGAATATGGACACAAATACAACTCAAGGGTGTGGCATGGCCGGCAGGGGGGACAGTGGTTGTGCTGGAAATTGTCAGGAGGGAAGGATCCCAGCGAGAAGGCTGCTGAATAGGCCCTCAGTTCTCATCAGACAGAGATGTGGTGGGTATGGAGGGGGACTTCTGGAGGCAGAAGCATCTTGAACAGGGGGTGCAGATGGGAAAAGGGTGTGTCTAGAGAGCAGTCAGGGTCTAGGCTGGGGAACCTTTTTATTTGAACCATGTCTAGAGCAGTCAATGAGATGAGCAGCAGTTGGTACAGCTCCCTTCCTGGTGCCTGGAAGGCAGGCAAAGAATCAGGGAGTCTTTTGTCTCCCAAAGGTATGGTTATTCTCCATGCTCCCTCTTTTCTTCCTCCCTTTTCTTGCCTTCTCACTCTCTTCTTTCTCCCCCATCCATTCCCTAACTTCTTACTCTTTTCTAACCGTCTCCTGGGGTGAAAACACAAAAGACAGGACACAGTGTGCACCTACAAGGAGGTCAGCCTCATGGGGAAATTAAAGAACAATAGTACTGCACTGTACAGTCAGTACAAAGTAAGAAGTGTAGTATAAGGAGCAGAGTGAATATAGGAAGTGCTAATTATTCTGAGGATTTGTTATATCCCATTATATTAAAACATCTGTCTTAAGCAGTTTTATATATAGTAACTCACTATCCTATCAACAACCCTACTGTTGGCTGTTGTTTTAGGCTTTGCACAGATAAGGAAATTGGGCCCCCGGGTAGCAGGTACTTTTTCTCAGGTTGTAATAGCAGAAAGAAATTCAGGAGTTCGCAGATGGCTTTGGTGTCTGTTCCTAGTTACTGTTCTCTAAATGGCCGGGTCTGCCACATTTTGATGAAGAAAGTGAGACCCAGTTAGGGGAATGTCTTGTCTGAGCAGGTCCTGTAGTTGACCACATTCTGAGCCCAAAAGAATAATGTATCTACGATGCGGCCAGGCGACTGCATCATAGGTCCTCTGAGTTTCGTACAAGATGTGATGAGACAAAGGGCTGCATCAGCTCTGTTGGGGAGGAGGCCGGCTGGAACAGATGGCATTCCAGCTGAGAGTCACCCTGGAAAAGGCAGCCTGTGACAGTTGGAGGAGAGGTGGGTCAGCCAGAATAAACTGCGCCACGGAGACCAGCACACTCGGGTGAAGTGGTTCAAAGGGAGAAGCGGCTTTACAGCCGAGAGTGGGGTCAGGCAGGTAGGTACTAGCAAGTCTTCCAAAGAAGTGAAACACATCGTAGGCAGCTTGAGAGACTGTCATTTGGAGGGGTGGCACTTGGAGAGATCAAGGAGAGCCAGCACTGTCCCAGACCAAGGTTGGAAAATGGGCAGTAAAGAATGACCGGTTATGTCATATGTTGTAGAGGTCAAGGTGGCGGGACACTGAGGGACGACGCAGCTCAGCCGAGGTCACAGCTAGAGGGTGTCTGGGTCTGGATTCAAACCCACATGTTCTCACTCTGGTAACACAGGTGTCTCCCCTCCTGGCTAGCCCATGATTAATTGAAGAAGGCAGCCACTTATTTTTAGATAATAAGAGGGACCCTGTAGTCAGCTGCTGTCTGAAACGGTGCAGCTTTATTCCAGAGGTCACCCTGAGAAAGGCCTTCTCAGGAAGGCCGCCCTGCTTCGCCCGTCAGTGCCAACCGTACCCTCAGATAACTGTCGTGTGTGGGTATGAAGCTAACTGCCCAGAGTCTGCCTCCCTTACGAGAAACTGTCGCTGACTTCCCCGTGTTCATTGCCCAGTGTAGTTCCAGCACTAAACAAGGTTGAACACATGAAGCCCCCAGACCTTGGTGGAACCGACCCTGCCCCACACTAGATAGGACTTTTTACTTCCTCCCTTGTTCTTGTCTCTCTTTAGATAATATAAATCTTTAGCCATTTGCTAATTATTTCCCTCTTTTGTTCCCTTGGCTGAAAACCTATGTCCTTTTTTTGTTTTTGTTTTTTGAGACAGGTTACTCTGTAGACCAGGCTGACCACAAGCTTTAGTTATCCTCCTGCCTCCACTCTCTGTTAAACTGCCCATTACAGGTTCTGCACAGCATTACTTGCCTGTTTGAAACTTATCTTTCTCCCTTGCCTCCATTAGAAGCTCAGCTTCATGGGCATCTTGTTCAGGGCTTACATGCAGTAAGCATTTAAGAATATTGACCTTTCCCATGCAGCCTTCAGTCAGCCCTTCTGTGTTCCCTCTCTTAATGAATAGCATAGCCAGACAGGTGCGTCCCCATCCCCCTTCCTGCCTCTCCATCCTTCCTGTTTCTAAATACCTCACAAACCCTCCCTGTTTGTCTAGACCCACTACTTTCATAATTCAGGCCTAGCCTTGTGCTCCCTGGCTCCACCCTGAAGCCTCCAGACCCCTCCCCTTATTATGTAACCGGGGTGACCTCTCAGAAAACAGATCTGACCTCTCACTACCATCCACCCCAGCCAGTGCAAAGTCCCCATGATTAGAGGGTAAACTTAGCATAATATACAGGCATGTTCACAGCCTGGCCGCTGGCTATAGTTCTGCCTGTAGATTTTAGTTATTAGCAGAATGTACTGAACAAGCCTCATTTGCTATCGCCCCGGACCTGCAAGTGTTATTCCTCATGCCTAGAATAGTCACGGCCACTCTACCTGTGCTGGTGTACCAGCTACTGCTGCTCACAGCAGATTTGCCTGGGCTCTTACCCCACAAGAGACTCCTCAAGACCTCTTAGTGCAGCTGGGTGTGTCCACCATGTATCCCAGAGCACCCAGTATCTGGCTCAGTTCTTTTTTCTTGGTGGCTTCCTAGGACCCTCGGCTCTAACAGAGTGAGCCATGCCCAGACTGGGCTTTCAGGCTTCAGGCGTCTGCATGAGTCTCTTGTCATGCTGAAATACGAGGGTCGTGTTTTCCTTCCTCACTACAGCCCGGCAGGTCTGTGTGCCGTCACCACACAGTCACCATTTTTCGCCTAATTATCTGAACGATTCCAGCGTGCCTTCAGCTGGTTCCTCCTGGGCAAGCTGTCTGGAAGGACTGGGACTGTTTGTGTTTGTGTGTGTTGTGAGCATACTTTGTCGTGTTGGGTGCGTTAAAGTGGCAGAAGCCTTCATGCTCACAGCGCTGGGAGGATTTTCTCATCTCTTTGATGTTGAAATCATTCCCTAGCAGATAGCAGAATGATGGGAGAATGCTGACCCTGCTGTAGAGAGACGAAAGCTGGAGGACAGAGCTGGCTCTTGCTCCGATGACAAGCTCCGAAATGACAGTTAAACCTTATTAAGGTCGAATGACCTTTTGCAGAGTATCCGAGCTTTCTAAATGAGCCGCAGCATTGCGTTCTGGTTAATTTTTATAACTTTTTTAATAGGACACATTAGCGCTGTTATAAACCTTGTTAATTAAGCAATAATCTCAAATGCTCCCTCGCAGAGGGACACGTTCCCAGCATCTGCAGGTGATTAATAGCTAGAGTCGAACAAAAGCCTTTTAATCAACCTAAGGGGCCATTCAGAGCTGCTACCCCAGGAAATGAAAATGATTGGAATTCTGTAGGGGCCTCCTGAACACATTCTTCAATGTGTGCCCTTCTCTTTCCATTTCTTCTCTGGAGGCCATCACCCCTACCATCCTGTCTTACGCTTCTCTCTCCTGCCTTTGCTGTCTCAGAGAGCCCTGGAGAGACAAAGCTCCCTAGATTACCTAGTGTGGCACACCACTGGATAGCAACACTTATCCCAGGTACCTCTCAGAGGTGTCTGGGATTAGAGCCACAGACTTCTCCCTGATTAGATTAGGTCAAAGCAAGGTTGCTTGACAGATAGCATGGCCCTCATTTAGGGAAGTGGGGGATGACTGGATTTTTATCAGATTGCAATCTGCACTTCCAGAGGAAACTCTATAGGCGCGGGAGCAGCTTGCTAGGTAGACCTCAGTCTCCACACTCAGCTGGGTAGTTCCAAGCAGAAGAGAATGAGTGGGGCTTAAGAAGGTGAAAACCAGAGCAGGGATCTTCTGGGAGGAGACGGTGAGGACACTTGCTTTGTGGGGTGCTCTGGAAAGGGAAGGGGTGATAAGTAGACAGAGCAGAAGACCTGGTTGCCCATCTTCTTATCTTGGTCCTTACAGACGAGTGAAGTTTGATGAGCTGGGCAGTCAGGGGTGGTAAGGAGGCAGTGGAGGCCAGTTAAGGCACCTCTGTGTAAAGCTCTTCTCAGTGGAAAGGAGCAGGTGAGCCAGAGTAAGCACGTTTGTGGTACACACACCCACAGCATGGATGGCAAGAACAGGTAGTCCCTACCCATACTTGGAAAGACAGCCATAGATTCTGACCTAAATGGTCCTTTACTCTAGTTCCCAGGCTCCTCCCATGTGAATGGCAGGCTTAGAACAAGTTGGGCTTACAAGATAATGCCCTGAATCACCTCTGTGTACTGACTCCAGAAAGGCCACACTGTGGTCATCCATCGCCACTCCTTATGGTTGTGTTCTCATTCTGTTTTCTAAGTGAGGAAACTCAAAATCAAAGAATGTGCAGTTTTTCCCATGATTATACACCCTACCCACACTTGGGTCTGGAATATAGTTGGGTGGTTGCGTGTGTGTGTGTGTGTGTGTGTGTGTGTGTGTGTGTGTGCGCACCTAGAGGCGAGAAGTCAAGTCTTGTTTCTCTGGTGCCATCCACCCTATTTTTTTTTTTTTTGAGACAGGGTCTCTTCACTGACCTATAACTCACCAATTATTCTGGGATGTCTAACCAATGAGCCCCAGGAATCCACTTGTCTACCTCCTAAGTGTTGGGATTAGAAGCATGCACCACCATGTCTGCATATTTTTGTATGAGTTCTGGGTATGGAAGTCATGTCTTCCTGCTTTCAAGGCAAAAACTTTCCCAACTGAGTTATCTCCCTACATGTTAAATGCAGAGTTTTTAGATGTTTTCAGTCTTCCCTGGAAAAGCATTCAGTCAGTCACTCATCATATACGTATGTCCTTTATCACCTGTGCGAGGACCTGGGAAATGAACAGTCGCATAGACATAAAATGATTGTAACCATCCCATATGGATATAGGATTCATTATTGCCTGAAAGGGGCTTCCAAATGTTTATCCCACATGCTTCCTGGAATCATTCTAAAAGCTGCTCTGGAGTTTGTTGTCCTTGTTAATGATGTGCGAATTCTAGGGCAATCATTTATACCAAATCTCCAAGCTGGAGACTGGTAGAAAAACAGGCTCTAGTCAGGCCTTGTCCAGGCTGACTCTGCTTCACCATGGCAAATAGTAAGACCCCTCAGAGAGCAGCTGTCCCAGGCCTCAGTAGCAGTCACCCCTTCACACACAATCTTAGCGGTGTGACAGTGTCGAATGCTAGTGACATTATAGGGCGACCAGGACTGACTTGCATGCAGTACCACTTGGGAGTGGCCTTCAGCATGTTTTGGAAAACAATTTACCAAGCATCATCTAGTGAAGCTGAGTAGGCATACTCTCTAATGGTTATTTGGCATTGCCAAGCTTAGGCTGGCACTTAGAGAGTTTCTTGGATAAATACCCTCGGCTGTGGGCAAGGTTGTTTGTGGACAATCAAATGCACAGTTAAAAGTAGGGTAAAGTCATAGCACAGCATGTTTCAGCAGCGAAGGTGGTGACTTTCCTGGGTGACCTGCCGCTGCACTCTGTAATATTGTGTGTTCCACTGAGTCAAATCAGCAAGGCAGAACAATAAAGAGATGGACACATTTATTCAAAGGCTGAAAACAGGAAAAAAATGTTTAGGGACAGATACCCACACTTTGATGAAGATGGGGAGAGCGAGAAGCTCAGCATCAGGTTTTAGAGGGATGTATTAATCTGGCTAGTGGGCTTATCATCATTGATAATTTTAGACAGGGTCACACTATGTATGAACTCAATATGTAGTCCAGGGCTGACCTCCAACTCACAGAGATCTACCTGTCTCTGTCTCCAAACTGCTGGGATTAATGGTGTGAACCACCACACCTGGGTCTTACCTTTATTTTTAAAGTACACACTTAATAGTGTGTATCTCTATTAATGGCATGACTTTAGATATATAACCATGTAAGTAATGTGAACCAGTATTTGAAAGTGTGTCAGGAGGCATGTCCTCTTTCTTCTCCTTGAGAGACTTGTTCTCAAATTCGTCATTAACCCTTGACCTTCCTGTCTCTTCCCTCTGTCTAGAGTGTTTGTATGACAGAATAGCACAAGAAACAGTGGACGAAACTGAAATTGCACAGAGACTCTCCAAAGTCAACAAGTACATCTGTGAGAAAATCATGGATATCAACAAATCTTGTAAAAATGAAGAACGAAGGGAAGCAAAATACAATTTGCAATAAACTTTGGATTTTTTCATAAAGCCTTGGCATTTTTCTTGTGTGGTGTGTGCATTATGGGCGGCAGTGCCATCCAAATAGACCCCACCAGGCGCGGCCGTGTCTTGGCAGAGGGCCTTCAGGGCGCTGAGGTCACTGTCTTATCTGGACTTGGACTTCCTACTTCGAAGAAGGCAGATGGATTTGCTGAGACTCAGCAGAGCCTCACACCTCAACCAGTGTTGTTGAGGGATGGGGAAGCACTTTTCACGGGCTGTGAGGCATCAGAGAGCCTGTTGGGACCACAGTATGAACTGTTATTTTTACCACTGGAGCACATCTATCTCTGCTCCTCTATTTTGTTCTATAATAAAACTCCATTAATTCTTGATGTAGACAATTGTTCTCTTTTTTATATAATATTAAACCTGTGTGCTGCATGTGGCCTGCAAAGCCCTCTCAGGAGCAAGATCCCGCAAGGGTCATGGGTCCTGTGATGGCTCTAAGGGTCTCCAAAGCATCTCACCCTCTCTGACTTCAAAGGATGAGTCTTGAACCACTTAGCTTTTCCCAGATGATCTGCAACTAGCATCTGAAAAAATAAGCTTCCCCGATTATTTGAGCCTACTTTTGTAAAGAAATGGGTACTGAGGGCCTAATAATGTTAGCTGTGGTGTACAGGGTTGCCAGAAAATGAGATACATCAGTGGCTAGCTGTTCGTTTATTCTCTCTTTTATCTCAAACGATCTTTCAGGTTTACATAATCGTTTATCTGCTTCTTTATTTGGTTGCTGGATCTTTATGGTGCCTGGCACATGCTTTTGGCAAAGCACTTTCTATCTTCCTTGTGGACTTGCACTTTTCTTTATGCAATGCCAATAAAGTAAGTGTGGCATTTTGGAAAGGGCTTTGGACAAATGCCTCTAGGTTCTAAGCCTGGCTCTCCTGCTTGCGCTGGCATTAACGTAACGCCCTTGTACCTCCATTTTCTGTTCCGTAAAAAAGAAAACCTGCCTCACAGAGTCGCTCTAAGGGTTAGAGATAAAATGTATAAAGTGTTCAATAAATGTCAGCAATTGTTGTTACCTTCATTTTTTGATTTTGGACTTTTGGACATTGGTGGAAAGCTTTGATCTGTAGTTGTCGTAACTCTTTAACCTTTAATGATCTATAAACAAAAGCTCAAGGTTACTGCGTTAAATAGGTAGAGTGGGTACCACTCTGAGACCCCATATTTCAGTAAAGCCAGTAATCCTTTGTAATATAATAATAAATTTAATGATCCTTTGTTGACCAGTGGGTGCTCACCATAGGATATTTCGACAAGAATTCTCTTCTGGAGTATTTCCCCCAGCTCTCTGTAAAGCAGCAGTGTGGTCTTCACACAAAGGCTTCACTTTTCAGAGTCCTTAGCAGTAGAATGAGGACATCAGGCAATGGGGGAGAATAATAGTAACGGGTTATACGGCAGGATTTGCCTACGTGTTGAGCATGGTTAGCTTTCATGAGGTGGGGAAAGTTTGTGGTCGGTGTCCAGCAAGTTCTTGCTAAGATGTGTTCCCTTTTCAGATGGGCCTGGCAGCCCACACCTGTCACCCTAGTACTTGGGAGGTAAGGCCGGAAGGTCAGGAGTTCAAGGCCAGCTTTAGCTACAGTGTGTCTCAGGTTGTTGTGTTGCTGTGATCAAACACCATGACCAGGAAGTGACCTGAAGAGGAAGGGTTTATTTCAGCTTCTAGTCTTGATCACAGCCCGTCATGAAGGCAGGAACTCATCTAGAGGCACGAGCTGAAGCAGAGACCGCCTAAGAATGCTGGTTGCTCCCCCCCCCCCCCCCCCGCATGCCTTGCTCACCCTGTTTTCTTATACAGTCCAGGACCATCTGCCCAGGGCTGGCTTCCGCCACAGAGGGCTGGGCCCTCCTACATTAATGATCAATCAAGAAAACACCCCACAGCTTGCCTACAGCCCAATCTCCATTAAGAAGGTCTCTTTCCAGGTGACTTCAGCTTGTGTCTAGTTGACAGAACCCTAGCTAGCACAGTGAGCAGGAGGGCATGAGGCCAGCTAGGACTACAGGAGACCCTGTCTCAAAGAAAAAAGAAAAGAAAGAAGAAAAGAAGATCTGTTCACTTTTATACTATCAGGCAGCTAGGGCCTAAGTGATTCGAAATGCCTGAGAAGATAAAGCTTATGTTAAGGTTGACCTCATCCCTTTTTTCCCAAAATGTAAAGAAAATACAGGCACCCAGAGGCTGTGTGTGTGCCTCAAAGACTAGACTGACTGACTCAGCAGCCTCCTGGGTGGGTGGGTGCCAGTTCAGTGAGGGAGACAGCAATAGCTAGAGTAAAAATACCTGGTGGATATGAGAGCGCTTATCGTGTGAATGACTTATTTATGATACACATGTTGAGGGTAACCAGACTGTCAAAGACTGGGACCTGGGTTCAAGTCCTTGTTTTGCTACTCTGTGCCTGTTTGCTTGACTGCTAATAATGACCCCTAATTCAGAATTGTGCCGAGGAAGCAGATACTACCCAGGAAAGGGCTCCGTGAGGCCCTCTTCCCAGCTACTGTTCCCCATAGACTGTTTGCAACACTTGGTCTCCAGCTGATAGGGCTGTTGGGGAAGGTTCTGGGAACTTCTAGAGATGGGGCCTAAATGGCAAAGCTTGGTCATTGGAGGTAAGGCTTTTAAGCAAGTATCCAGCCCCCAGATCCTATTGGCACTGGACTTCCTGATCCACCATGTGGCTAGCTTCTGCCCCATGCTCCTGCCACAACGTAAGCCCCTCCCTCATGCCTTTCCCTGCCACAATGAATAAAAACCATCTGCAATTATGAAGCCAAAATGAATCTTTCATCTTTGTCATAGTTTTTTTTTTTTTTTTTATTCTTTGTCAACTTGACAAAGCCTAACCATGCTTGGGAAGAAGGGCCCTCAACTGAGTAATTGCTTCTCACAGATCAGCCTGTTGCGTGTCTGTGGGTCATTTTCTTGATTATTGATTGTTGTGGGAGAACCCAGCCTGCTGTGGGCTGAGCTATCTTTAGGTGGGTGGTCCTGGGCTGTGTAAGAAATGGAGCTGAACGGGACTATGGGAGTGAGCCAATAAGCAACAATCCAGACTTCTGCCTTGAGTTCCTGCCTTAGCACCCCTGGATGATGGACCACTCACAAGTCAAGTTAACCCCTTCCTGCACAAATTGCTTTTGGTAAGAATATTTAACACGTCAACAGAAACCTAACTGGGATATGACAAGTATTGTGCCCATAGTGATATGAAAGAACCTAATGAAATCACACACACACACACACACACACACACACACACAGAGAGAGAGAGAGAGAGAGAGAGAGAGAGAGAGAGAGAGAGATCATCCTTAGCTTATAAGGCAGAGAGAAATTAGAAGTGGATGCAATAGCGAAACATGCTTTTAAGAGCAAGGCTGAGCCAGGCGGTGGTGGCGCACGCCTTTAATCCCAGCAGTCGAGGCAGAGGCAGGTGGATCTCTGTGAGTTCAAGGCCAACCTGGTCTACAAGAGCTAGTTCCAGGACAGGCTCCAAAGCTACAGAGAAACCCTGTCTTGAAAAACCAGAGAGAGAGAGAGAGAAAGGCTGAGGAAGTTTCAGCCACTAATTAGACTGGCTAATAATGTTTAGAGTCTCTGGAACGTGCCTGATACCTTAAACACTTGACATGAGTGAAGTGGGCTCAGAAAAGGAGTAATATCTTGCCTAAGGAGCCAGAGCTCACAGCAGTGGAACTGGGTCCAAATACAGATGCAGCTCCTAGGGAAAGAGAGGGTCATCTAGCTTAAGGTGGGCATCATGACAGCAGAAAACAAGAGAGACCCTGCCTCAAAACCAAAGCAAGGTCAAGGGAGAGAATAGCTCCCAAAGGTTCTCTCTCCCTCTATCAATTCATAAAGAAATAAACAGATAAATCAACAAACAAATCAATATACTATCTTTCCTAAAAAGATAGTGGACTCTTACAATGGTTTTGAATCAGAGTATGTGTGTGTAGGCCTCAGTAATCTATGGTAATCATTCTCATTAATTCAAGTCATTAGAAGATATTGGAGGTAATTACATCATACTAGTTTATTTTTTCAAGTGGAAACAAAGTAGGAATGCATATTTTAACACAAACAGCTCTTTCGAAAAGCACCGGTTTATTAGAACTCATTAGATATACACACCAATGAAAGACTAAGAGTGTTCTCTCAGTAGACAGAAACCTCTGCTAGTCCCGTAAGTCCCCTTCAGATATCTGCAATTGAGTCTTAGTTTCTTCCTCAATAATGGGCTTTTCCCTGCAACTTTGCTTAGAGTGGTTTTTCACACTCCCAGAATTCTGTTTGGTTGGGCCTGATACAGAAGGGGGCTTTTTGTCGAAATGCCAGTGGTCCCCCTAGCTTTTACACTTGGGTTCCTTTGATTCTCATGGTGGGCCAGCATGTCTTGTTGGGCAGGATGGCGATCCTGAATTGACAGAACCTGAGTCCATCCCAGAAGCCCTGGCTCCAGATCCCTTCATCAGGTGGGAGAGGAAGGTGGGACTCATTTTATTTCTGGCTCATGGACTGTCTGAGGAAGACTGATTCCCTCCTGCCCCAGTTTGTGTCTTGGATGTGTTTCTATATTGTGATGATTATTTTTTAATTATAAAGAAATAAAAACAACTCTAAACAGATTCTTTTGGAAAGTAGGGAAAGCACTGCAAACGGCACTGCCGTGTAGTGTGGTTTTTGTCCAAGGATGTAACTGTATTTTACACACAGGACCCGGTTTGCACGCGTCCCTGCACATTTAATAGAGTTGTTTCCAGGTTGCTCCTTGGCATTCGTAACCATCAGCTCTAACATCCACAAAGTGGACAGACATAAAGCTACGGATGGGTAAACCATCTATCTGGTCAGTTGCTCAAGTCCTTACAGTGAGGCTAACCTGCCGATATATCAGGCTACGAAGGCCTTAACTGCGGGTTCCAATCCATCCCAGCGGTACAGGGAACCTGAGTTAGGTGGTGGATGGCTCTAAGCTCACCTCTCAGCTCTACAGCTTACTAGCCTGCTCAAAGTCAGGCACTTCCTCTTAACATTGGCTTCGTCGACTGTAACGTGGAGTAAGCAGTATCCACGTCCTGGGCTCGTAGGAAGCCTGTGGCGGTAAATGAAGTTTTGCAGCCAGAGTGGACAAATGGCCATCAGTGCTAGTGTTGAGATTTGTCTCCTTGCCTGCCCTCTGTCTGCTTTGTTCATTCTTGACCTGAGAATGTGCCTCTCCTGTCTCTACCCTGCTGCCCTCTTGTGCCAAGATCTCAGCTTTCATCTCTGCTTTTGGCTCCCTGAGAATCTTACACAAATTCACCATTTGTTGGGACCTGTGTGCAGGTTCCACGCTTCTGGCCCCACCTCAACTCCCACCCCCTGCCTTCTGGCCCATTAATAGCTCCTTGGAATTTTAGATCGTTTATAAATAAAACTTGGTGGAAATATTTGTATTAATGTTCCCTTTACACTTTCTTTGGTTTTCTTAGTGTGGTTTCTCCTCAGCCAAAAGGAATGTCAGTTGCATTATTCTTTATGCTTGTAATGGGTGTAACCACTTTTGAAATTATTCTCCCAACTTAGTTGGCAAAGAAAAATGTGTGTTATTGTATTTTCTTGCTTGTTATTGAGACTGAAATCATTCCAGAATTTTATTTTTTTCTTTATAGAAAAGAAAAACTTCTTCAAAACCTATGACCATTTCTGTTTCCTGTCTTCTTGTTTTCTTGTGGACCAGCTTGCTTACCGTGGGCATAACACATGTGCTTTGGCATCCTCAAACAGACACAGCAACAGACATATCTCATCTTTTGTTTTGAAGGAATGGACCAGTATCTTCCAGGAAGCCTTACAAAGTCATAGAACCTAAAGGTCAAAGATGATCTCGTAGATGTTCCCTAGGTGTCCTCTCCACCATAGCAATGACTGACCCAAGCCCCCACCCCTTTCCCCGCCTTAACAATCAGAATGGCTCTTTGCATGGTTTAATATGACATCATTGTTCTTTCGTATTT